CAGTTAAAATCACAGTTTCTGTATCCTCTGTGGCTGAAGGTTTGCAAGGTTTAGGTGTTTCAAAATGTTGTTCTGGCTTTACCTCAAGCTCAGCATGAATACTGGTTTTGGTAATCTCTATCTGACTGTTCTCAATTGTACTCGGACATATTTCTGGACTTGTAGGACTGGTCAATACATCAGCTTCTTTTGGACTCAGAACTTCCACAGGGCCAGTGGACAAGGAGGCCTCTTTACCTGCTAGACCAACCAACTCACCACCCAACACTCTAGGGTCCACCTTTACCTCAATGATATCACTGATTACCTCCACTTCCTCCACTTCTATCTCACATTTCTTGGACAATGCCGAACTCTGAACCAATCTTAGGACATCCTCTGCTGCTACTACTTCCTCTTCCTTATTTCTTTGTATTCCTACATCCTTGCCCTCCATCAGGTTTACCTTGTCAACGTCTTCAACCTGAACTGTTGTTGACCCATGAATATGAGATTGAGACTCCTCGAAAGATGTTTGGGCAATTTCTGATGGAGTTTCCAGCTGATAAGTCATAATCTGTGCAGGTGTTTTGTTTTTAGCATGGACAGAGTCTTCAGTGGGATCCATCTGAGCTAAAATCACAGTTTCTGTCTCCACTCTAGCTGTAGGTTTGCCAGGATCAGATGTTTTGAAATGTGGTTCTGTCTTTACCTTGTTCTCAGCACAAGAACTGGTTTTGTTCATTTCTATTTCACTACTTGCCCCTGTTGTAGTTGCTCCTGAAGTAGTCTCTAGTTTGGTCTGGACGGCAGCACTGCTGTCCCGAATCAGAGTGCTGACTGTTTTTGTTTGAGAAGCCACGACAGCAACTTCTTTGTCTAAGCCTTGGCTAACTTCAGTCTGGACAATCAACTGGTCTTGCAGATCACAATCTTCAGCATGGACTTTATCTTCGACTAGGTTGCTCTCCTTGTCAACTGTGGCTCTAACTGTAAAGGATTCCCTCCCGGTACTTTCAGGAAGAGCTGCTACACTCTGGTTGAAGGAGTGTGTCATATTAGCAGTGTTAATCGATCTTACTGGGGAGTTCTTTAGATGTTTGCTGTGGTCCCTCATTACCTGGACTGTAGTTACTTTTCCTGATAGTGATGTTTGTTCAACAGTGCGGACGTGACCTTTAGAGACTATCTGAACCTCTGGGGTCCTGAGATTTCCTGTAAGAACCCTGACTGTGTTGTCTACTGTGACATTCCTCCTGAATGCAGAAGGGCTGGTTGTAACACAGGGAGTTGTGGCCACAGGTTTTGAGTTTAAGTGGAGGCTTGAAACCCTGTTAGGAAATTAAAAACACAAAAAGAGTGGCAAGAGATTATAAACAAAACAATGTACTGCGGGTCTTTTAATTTCATAATATTCACCTGGAATGCATTCTGGAACGGGTTATATAGTGTGGTATTAACAGTAGGTTATTCACTAAAAAAAAAAAATTCTTTAAAAACTATTTGTTTCTTGGCAAAAATATATATATATATATATATTACTGACAGCAGAATAAGGTAAAGTAGGTAAAGTATATTAGAGTTGTATTAAAAAGGCTAATGGTGCAAAATCCCTGACTACTGAGGTGTAGTTTGTCACTGAAAAGTTGTGCATCTGTCTATTGTGTTTCCATCATCATCTCATACTTTTCCTGGTTAATTTCATCCAAGAGCCTCTTGTAGTCCTGGATCTCAGCCTCCAGTCGGCTCTTGATATCCAGCAGGGCATCATAGTCTGCTGCCTGCTGAGCTGCAGCCTGGAGCACCGAGTCCAGGTCTCTACAAAGGCCGTCCACCTTCTGCTGCAGGGCTTCCAACTGCAGGACGAAAGAATCAGCCTGCTCCCGACCAGAGACCTCCAAGACCAAGATCTGCACCCACAAGACGACAAATGTGACAAACAGATTTTTTTTTTTTTTTCAATTGTAAAATTGTAAAAATAAATAAATAAATAATTGACCTTGACTTGGTCTTGGGATTTTTTGATGTTGGCGTTTGTCTTGACTTGTCCTTGATGTGATTGTTTACACTTCAGGCATTGGACCTACTAGTCTTGATTTATGTCTTGGGACTTATTTGTTTTCACTTGGACTTGACTTAGGATTTGTTGGTCTGAACTTGGACTTTTCTTGAGACTTGTTGATTTATACTTAGGTCTGAGGACTTCTTGATCCTGACTGGGTTTTTTGTTTTGTTTTGTTGTAGTTTTAGTCACGGCTTGGGACTTGTTGGTTTATATTTAGATCTTAAGGTGTCTAAATCTTGACTTGAACTCATTAGTCTTAACTTTAATTTTGGAACTTTTCAGTCATGACTTGGATTTTTCTTGGAATGTACTTGATTTTTTGGGAATTTTAAAATTGGCTTAGGACCTGTTGATCTACACTCGGGTGCTGAGTCAAGAATTTGTCTTTTTGGCTTTGTCTTAATTTATACTTAAATCTTAGGACTTACTGGTCTTGACTTGAATTTGTCTTAATGGTCTGGGTTTGGAACTTCAGGTTTGGGAATTTGTGGTCATGTCTTTAAAGTTTTTAGTTTATACTTAGACCCGAGGAGACCTGTCAGCTAGAACTAGTCTTAGGATTTAGATCTTGGAACTTAGGAATAGTTTTGACTTAAAATTGTCTGACTCCTGTCTTGGTCCTTGGACCAGATCTTGGACTTGTCCTACTTGTCCTGGGACCAGACCTTATTCTTTTTTTTTTTTAATTTTGGAACGTTGGAGCAGTTAAACATTTAGAGATCGGGAACAGTAGTTTAGCCTCACCAGAGCCTGCAGTCGGGTCAGTTCTTCTGTCAGAGTGGTTGCTGTCCTCCTTAGCTCCTTCACCTCAGCCTGATCCAAATCTGAACCCACAGCAGGATCAAAGGTCACCTCTGGAGAACTCAGCGTGGACACCTGAACACAACACACTTGGTGAAAGGTTGTTCTATCTGATCAAAATCCACCCAAATACTTTCCACTCCCCACTGATGTTTTCTGCCCACTGGGTGTTGGTCTACCTGAGTCTTGAACCAGTACTCCTTGGGGTTCCTATCGAGCAGCGGCACACTTGTTGTTCTCAGGTGTTTCAGCTGTCGGAGCAGATCTGATGACTCAGCAGTCTGCATCTCCACAGCGATGCCCCCTGACACCTGACCTACGAGTACCTGCACGTCCTGGATAGGTAGATGGAAAAATGACATGGTTTGTTCAATGCACAGAATCCAGATAAGTTTGAGTGTTTTTACCTGGTTTTGTTTTAACTGTTGCCATTTTACCTGTCAGTGTTTTATCTGTCGCTGTTTCACCGTTTGATGTTGTACCTGTTGTGCTTTTACCTGTCGGTGCTTTGCTTGCCATGTTTTACATGTTGCTGTTTTACCAATTGGTGTTTTACCTGTCATTGCTTTAGTTGTTGGTGTTTAACCTGTACGTGTTTTACCTGTAGGTTTTTTTTTTTACCTGTCTATGTTGTGTCTGCAGCTCCACCAGCTGCTGCATTTGGTTGTCCAACAGACTCTCCAGCTCTGGCATCTTGTAGATTTTTAGCTCCGCATCCAGCTCCCTCAGGTCGCTAAGCTCCGCCTCCACCCTGCCACGCCGCTCGCACTCCTTCTCACACCTGGTCACACAGCAGAGGATCAATGGATAGGTATACCTGTGTGTTTCTGTGGGTATCAGGTGCTGGTGTGTGGATCTACCTGGCATTGAGGTCAAAGGCATCAAGCTGAGCTCCGAGCAGCTGCAGTTTTACCTGAGCCTGGTCCGAGAGACATTCACTGATCTGTAAGTCAGAGAGCGAGAGTGTTACCTGAGCGAGGTTTAATAGAGGGTTCACACCTGGAGGTACACCTGGGTGTAAAGTGGACATCCTAAAAAGTCTACTGGTTCTAAACAATGTGCACATAAATCATTCTTTAACTTTTCTGGAACAGACTTAAAAAATTCAAATGTCAAAAACATCAGGAAAGAATTAAGGAAAGAAGGAAAGAAGGATGCATGACAGGAAGGAAGGAAACGTGAAAAGACTGAAGGAGAGAACAAATGAAATAAGGAGAAAGAGGATCTTTACATTTATCCACAATATTACATCATTGTTAGAGGAACATCCAACATGGCGACTGCAGGTCAGCCTCTAATTGGCTGTTCCATCTCACCTTGTCCTGCAGCAAGGACGCCCTCCTGAGGTATCCGTCCAGCTGCCTCAGCTCTCCAGGACACTTCCTGTTCAGTTCTTCTTGGATCTGACACTCCAGCCTCTGATTGGCTGCTTCCAGACATTGCACCTGCATCCAGGAAACAGAGACCGTCCTCAGTACAAAACTCCATTCACAAATCAGCCATTTTAATGTCCTATGATTGTGCAACTAGCTAGTGCTAATCAGTTAAACACTGTTCCTAGTCAGTACAAAACTCTGTTCACAAATCAGCTGTTTTAACGTCCTCTGGTTCATATTGGCTTCATTTTGGCTTGAAACTAATTTTGAACTTGTTCCACACTGGTTTTATACTGTTTGTAGTGGTTTCATATTGTTTTAAACTGGTTTTGTATGGGTTTCATTCTTGTTTTGGGCTTGTTTCCAGACTGGTGTCATACTGATTTTCAAATTGTGTTTAGACTAGTTTCGGGCTGGTTTTGGATTGTTTGGGACTGGTTCTTTACTGGCTTTGCACTGGTTCTGTACTGGTTTTGAAATGGTTCTGTGCTGGTGTTGGACTGGTTTTGGAACAGTTTCAGATTGACTTTGGACTGGTTTTATACTGGTTTTGAACTTGTTTTGTACTGGTTTTATATTGTTTTGAACTGGTTTCATGCTAGTTTTTGTACTAGTTTCATGCAATTTTGAGCTGGTATTGAACTGGTTTTGTACTGGTTTCTTACTGGGTTTGAACTGGTTTCATATTGGTTTTGGACTGGTGTTGTACTGGTTTGAACTAGTTTCATATTGGTTTTGGATTGGTTTTATACTGGTTTTGACCTTGTTTTGTTCTGGTTTTATATCGTTTTGAACTGGTTTCATGCTGGTTTTTGTACTATAATTTTGAGCTGGTTTTGAACTGGTTTTGTACTGGTTATTTATTGGGTTCGAACTGGTTTCATATTGGTTTTGAACTGGTGCTGAACTGCAGGATGAATGGATCAGACGCCTCCCTGAAGTTGCTGATCTGAACATGAAAGTGCTTGAAAATCAGAGATCAGGTATTTTTATGTCCTCTCAGCCTTAGAGCAGTAAACCTTGTCAGTGGTAAATGTCATGATGATTGTGTTTTTTCTCTGCTGGTGCTGGATCCTTCAGTTAGACGAGTGAAACCCTTTCTAGATGTTTTTTCTCAAACATCAAAGAATCAAAACCAATAAAAACCAGAAGCTTCAAACACTGTACATGTTCTGGTCCATGCAAAACTCTGTCACTTTAAAATTCTTTTGCTCTGTAAATACAAATGAATTATCTTTAATAAATCTTGCTTTACTTTTAGTCGTAAACAAACCCTGTAGTCTGTTTAAAACTCCATTCAGAAATCCAGCATGTTTGACGTTTTGTTGCTCTTTAAAGGATAATTCATGGTCACTTGTGAATGTCAGTTTAATTTTTAAAATCGAACAGTCATTAAACTTAGTCAACACAAAACTTTATTAAAAAAAATGTTTACTTGTTGCTGTTAAATCTATTAATAGTACATTTTGTTTTGCATATGAACCGCTGCCAAAAAAAGGTGCGACCGTTAAGCTCTTTTGATGTACATAATTACCCTTTATTAATCTCTGTTAGGAGTCACTCATAAAATTGACAGTGTTCTCTGGTTATGCAAAAGAGTTCTATTTTTTATTTTATTTTATTTTTTTTAATATTGTGATTTTTTAAAGGATATTTGAATATCACATGTAAACCTCTGTTAAATTTTAGAATTTTAAGGCAAATACTGAACATAGTGAATACCTAGATTCATTAAGAAATGTATTTTTACATTCTTTGGCAGTGGAAGGTTTTGTACCTCATGCATAGATTGCATGTGCGAAACTCCACTGAAAAATCTGTTACTTTTGCTCTTACACGACAATAAATCGTCCTTTATAAACTCTTACAGGACTTAATTAATTATAAAAACACACAGAATTTACAGATGAAGAATTCTTCTGAGGTTTTTGTTGTTGTTGTTGTTCTCTTCCTCTTTAAAGGACAGTTTAATATCAGAATCATAGAACAGATTCTGTGCGCAGTCAGATCACAGCTCCAGTTAGAAATGTTGTGTTTTTACGTTTATTTGCTATTAAATCTTTAATGGGTACATTTCTTTGCCTGTGCTCTGCTGCTGGATCCGTCAGAGGAAGGTGTTTGTCTTTAACCTCATGCACAGATTCAGTCTGTGCAAAACTCCACTGAAACATCTGCTACTGATATGTTTTCTTGCTATTAAATGATAATAAATCATCCTTTATAAATGTCTCGATTCTGCAATGAATCGTAAAACAAACATAGTTGTCTGTCAATGCAAAACTCCATTAAGAAATCAAACGTTTTTCTTCTGCTCTTGTGTTGAATTTCAAAATGATTTAAAACAAATACTGCACTCAGTTCATTCAAAACTCCATTAAGAAATGTTGTATTGTTTCATTTATCTGCTTTTAAAATGAATATTTAGTTCATTTCCTTTGCTTTGCACTGCAGCTGGATCCCTCACACGAAGCTTTTTGTGTTTCCACGTCGTCCTACCTGTTGCAAGTAAGAAGCCAACCTCCCGTTCAGCTGCTGCAGGGTTTGTTTCTCGCTGGACAAGCAGAAGCTGCGGCCGCAGTTCCCACCTGCAGCAGCAACAGCGGTGCTGTAGTAGACCGGGGCTGCAGCTCCATGCTGGACTCGGTATCCCAGAGCCGCCTGGTTCGCTCTGCTTGCTCTAAGAAGCTGCCACTGTGACATCTCTGCTCTCCTATGTTTGAGTTTTCATCGCAGCTCCTCCGTCCTGCTGCAGATTTAAACACCAACTGCTGCGTTAAAGTCTTATTTCATCACAAATGCAAGATTTTCAGTCTCCTGTGCTCCTTACCTTCGTCCTCCAGCAGCTCAGACTCGGAGCCCTGCAGGTGTTTTCTGTCTCAGGTGTGTCAGAACTTGATGTAGCTTAGCTTTAATTTCCTTTAACCTTTAAATCGTGTTATTTAGAACAGGTTTGAGCAGGACAGCAGCCCTGCCCTGCAGACTGTATGAATATGAGGCTCTAATTACAATAAATCCTGTCAGGTTCTCACTTGTTGTGCAGGTGTTGTGGATCAGTGTGTCCTGTAACCGCAGGGCCAAACTCTCTGGGAAACAAAAGTCAGTTAAACCTTTAAAGGTCAGCAGTGACTCTGCAGCATCACACTGTTTTCTTTCATGTAATCCGTCTCATTAGCAACTGTTTTCTTCTGATCCTGTCTTTCATAGATCCACAGACAGCTTTTAGACTTTTATCACAGTTCATCCAGTCAGAGAACAGAAGAAAAACAGAAATAGAAGTGAGAGAAAACAGCTGCTCCAGACAGAAACCTTCTTTCCTGTTTTACTCACATGCAATCACTGCTGAAAATCTCTCACCATGTCCGTGGAAATGGTGTGAAACAGATTTTGCTGTCTGGAGCTGTTCCTCCTGCTCACACTGGACATTTGGACTGGTTTTATACTGGTTTGGAGAGGCTTTTAACTGTTTCTGTTCTGGTTTTGGCCTTGGTTTTTCCGTTGTTTCAAACTAGGTTTTGGATTGAATTTGGACTCTTTTTGAACTTATCATGGACTGGACTTTGAACTGGTTTTTAAAATGGTTTTGACTTGGTTGTAGAAGGTCTCTACACTGGTTTTGGACTGGTTTTAAACTTGACTTTGGGACTGATTTTAGACTTGGTTCTAGACATGTTTTGGACTGATTTTAGACTTGGTTCTAGACATGTTTTGGACTACTTCTGGATTGGATTTAGACTTGGTTTAAAAAAAGTTTTTGGACCGGTTTCATACTTGGTTGTTGACTGAGTTTAGATTTGTTTTTGGACAAGTTTTAGACTGGTTTTAGACTAGGCTTTGGACTAGATTTTCCATTGGGTTTAAAATTGGTTTTAGAAATGGTTATAGAAGGGTTGCAGACTGGTTTGGGATTGGTTGTAAACTTGACTTTGGTCTTAATTTTAGATTTTAAACATAGTTTTTGATTGATTTTAGGCTAATTTTTGCACTGCTTTTGGACTGGTATTGGACTCAACTTTGGACTGACTGAATTTGGTTCTAAAGTTGATTTTGGCAGGTTTTAGACTGATTTAAACTTGGTTTATGAACGGTTTCAGATTGATTTTAGACTTGGTTTTCGGCTGTTTTAAGCTGATTTTGGACTGTTCTAAGACCGGATTTGGACTTAATTTTAAAGTTGGTTTTAGGCTGGTTTTATACTGGTGTTAAACTTCAGTTTGGACTGATTCAGGACTCATTTTATTCTTTGTTTTCAACTGTTTTGTAGGCCGGTTTGATACTGGTTTTAAAATAATTTCAAACCAGGTTTTGAACTGGATTCAAAGTTGGTTGTTGACTAGTTTTGGACTTTGTTTTGGACTGGTTTAAGACTGGTTTTGACTCGTGTCAAACTTTTGACCTTTGGCTTTTGTTTGTTTGTACAACACCAGTCAACTATTATAACCGCAGGGCCAAATGCTCAGCAAGAAGCTGGGAAACAAAAGTCAGTTAAACCTTTAAAGGTCAGCAGTGACTCTGCAGCATCACACTGTTTTCTTTCATGTAATCCGTCTCATTAGCAACTGTTTTCTTCTGATCCTGTCTTTCATAGATCCACAGACAGCTTTTAGACTTTTATCACAGTTCATCCAGTCAGAGAACAGAAGAAAAACAGAAATAGAAGTGAGAGAAAACAACTGCTCCAGACAGAAACCTTCTTCCTGTTTTACTCACATGCAATCACTGCTGAAAATCTCTCACCATGTCCGTGGAAATGGTGTGAAACAGATTTTGCTGTCTGGAACTGTTCCTCCTGCTCACACTGGACATTTGGACTGGTTTTATACTGGTTTTATAATGGTTTTTGACTACTTTTGACTGATTCTGGACAAGTTGTGGCCTTGGTTTTTAACTAGATTTTAGGCTGGGTTGATACTGGGTTTGAACTGGTTTTAGACTAGGTTTTGGATTGGATTTTAAATTGGTTTTGCGTTTGGTTGCACAATGAAATTTCAAGATTCAAGATTCAAGATTCTTTATTTGTCACAACAACCATTATACACAGTATAATGCACAGTGAAATGTACATAGCACCTGTCCCTGACCGAAACAACAATAATAATAAGAAGAAGAAAAATAAAGAATAAAAACATACAAGAAATAAATACATATATGAATATATAAGCAAAATAAATAAATCAAAGTGTCAAATAGCGCAAAAAAAAGAATATGTACACAAGTGAACACTTTGATTGTCTATTAAGTCTGTTGTTTCAGGTTCAGCAGGCGGACAGCCTGAGGGAAGAAGCTCCTCCTCATCCTCTCTGTGTTTTTGCCTTCAGGCAGCAGTAACGCCGCCCTGACAGCAGCAGACAGAACAGTCTGTGGCTGGGGTGGGTGGACTCACTCACAGTCTTCCTGCATTGTTTGTTGTAAATGTCCTGTAGGTTGGGGAGGGTGGTTCTGATGGTGCGCTCAGCTGAGTGGATCATCCTCCTCAGGGCCGAGAAGTCCTGCTGGGTGCTGGTGCCCATCCAGTTGGTGATACTCTCAGCGTAAACCACCAGTCTGAAACCTTTCCAGCCTGGCTGAACCATGTCTTTACAACTTTTCAAGTGTGTTTGAGGTCATTGTCTTGTTGAAACACCCAGCTGTGACCAAGATCCAACCTTCTAATCATGGCTTTAAGTTTTCCTGAAGAATGTGGAGGTAATCCTCCTCCTTCATTGTTCCATTTACTTTGTGTAAAGAACCAGTTCCACTGGCAGCAAAACAGCCCCAGAGCATGATACTGCCACCGTCATGCTTGATGGTAGGTTTGGTGTTCATGGGGTGGAAGGCCTCACCTTCTCTAGTTCAAACATATTCCTTCTCATTGTGGCCAAACAGCTCAGTTTTTGTTTCTTCTGACCACAGAACTTTCCTTCAGAAGGTCTTTTCTTTGTTCTTGTGATCAGCTGCAAACTTCAGTCGACCTTTACGGTGTTGTTTCTGGACGAAGGCCTTCCTTTTCCATGGCAGCCTCTCAGCTCATGTTGATGTAAAACACTGTGAACACTGACAGCTGTGTTCCAGCAGCTTCTAATTCATTGCAGACCTGCTGTTTGGTGATTCTTGGTTGACTCTTGACCATCCTGACGGATTGTCTCTCAGCAGCAGGTGATAGCTTGTGTTTTCTTCCTGATTGTGGCAGTAACACAACTGTACCATGCACTTTATACACTGACAAATGATTGTTTGCACAGATGATTTTGGGATCTGTAGCTGCATTAAAATAGCTCCACATGACTCTTCTGTATTTTTTCATTTTTTCTTCTCTTACTTGTTTTAAGACAGTTTTTTCACCTGGTTTCGTAGTGTTTTGTACTGATTTGTACGGGTCTTAGACTGAGGGTGAATTTGGGATGATCAGACCCCTCCCTGGTGTGCTGCTGATCTGAACATATTACTCATTTGCATGCTTCTGCACATTGAGGGGAAAAAACGAATCAGAGTTTTTAATTAACTCACATCTGACACGATGTTAAAACTGTTTTATTTCTTTTCTAGTTGGGTTTTAAATGTGTCATGAATGCCTTTACTATTTTTTTTTATAGAGACAGCAGACTGAAGCAGATTTAACCGATGAGGTAAAGAATCATGTTGCTGCAGTCACCTCAGATAACCTGTGCTGCTGCAGCCTGAGCTTCACACTCTGACCAGCAGGAGTCGCTGCAGGACGCAGCTTCTTATCTGAACTCAACACACGAAGCAGAACCAGCAGCCAATCAGCGACCAGCGTGTGCAGCTCTCGCACCTGCGCACTGCAGCTGTGTTGACTGTGTTGACATGTCCGCTGCTGGGCTTTAATGAATATTTCTGCGGGTTCTGGAGCCTCAGAGTCAGTGACCGTCTTCCGCAGCCCGCCTCATGGAGAACCCCAGAGACCTGGTGAGTCCCGCGGCCTGTCTGTCCGCCAGCAGCCGGCATGGGGCTTTGTTATTGTGGCTGATAGCGGCTGCTTCAAAGTCGATAGAAAGTCTCGCCAAACCTCCGTTGAGAAATCCGGTGCTTTAAATTTATTTCGCTCTTTGACAAAAAATGTGTTAGAACTGTAATGACATTAAAACAGATTCTCAACGAGACCAAGATAATCATTTATTCGGCGTAAATATTGTGCATGTAATATTTTTCAAAACTGTCAAAACCTAACCTTTAAATCTGTTGTTCTCAAAGTCTCCTGCCGAAACTCCGTTAAAAATCCGTCGATATTAGGTTTCCTTTATAATTCCCAAAGAAACACACCTCAGTAGACAATATTTGAAATAATCTGATAAATCGCATAGAATTACCTTTTATTCGGCTTACTTAAACTCCCGTGAGCACATTTTCATTTAGCGAATTTTCACTTTCTTTATCCTTTTTCTATTTTCCCGCTACATTCTCATCTACATTCACGGCGCAGAGCGTCACGGTTACTCCACACGAAAAAAAGCAATTTCAGAAACACACTGTGGTTGTACGTGTTGTTACTGTAAGCCGAATTTAACAGAGGCTGCAGCCGAGTAAGTCCCAGCAGTGCTTTTATGACACGGGGTACATGATGCTGTCAGGACTGAAGGAAAGCTGAAATCTCCAGAATCGTGGAGGTCATCTGTTCGCTCTGACACAGGCGCCAGCTGCGGCTACGGAGTCTCTCTCTCCGCGCTGTCTGTCAGCCTCTCTCTGCCTCAGTCTGCGCACCGCACTGCAGTGCTGCAGGTTACCGACCTCCAAATTTACTGAGGCCAAACACTGAACGCAACAGCTGTCAGGACGCCAAGGATGGAGGGAGAGTGTTTGAATCAGCTGCTGGTTCAAAGTCACATGAAGTTAAAGCAAAGCACACCTTCACCGACAAACATGTAGAGTGGTGACCTGATATTGTTTAGATTTTATCAGAGAATCCTGCAACACATGTGTTTTCTGCTGTCAAATATAGTTTTGATGACAGGAAAATAAGGTTTTGCTAATTTACCTTCAGGTGGTTCACTGTGAGGTTCAGGTGCTTCACTGTGGGGTTTGTGTGACCAATGAGCTCCTCCTCCTCCTCAGGTGGAGCGTCCGTCCAGGAAGCGGCGGGACTCCTTCGGGATGCTGGACGGCCTGGACGAGGACCGCAGCAGCTGCAGCACTGAGTCCAGCGGCGGCAGTGGAGCGTCCAGCCCCGAAGACAGCGAGGACGAAGACTTAGGAGGAGTGACACAACTCACTCCGTCCTCCTCGTCCTCCCTGACGCTCATCAAGACCAACGGACAAGTGTACACCTATCCTGACGGCAAGGCCGGCATGGGTCAGTGACACCATCACACCCACATGTTGTACAGCTGCAGCCAGGAATCAATCAGTTATCGTCTCTTGCATCAGTCATCAACTATTCTGATGATCAATCAATCAGTTTGAGTTCATTTTTAATTTCTAAAAAAACCATCTAAATTCTCTGGTTGCAGCTTCTTCAATGTGAATATTTTCTGGTTTCTTTCCTCCTCTGTGACAGTTCTGAATATCTTTAGACAAAACAAGACATTTAAGGAAACACTGATTCACATTTTTCACCATTTTCTGACATTTTACAGACCAAACAGCTAAACAGTTAATCCAGAAAGTAATTGATACGTTAAAATAATCATTAGTAGAATTTACTGTAATCAAACCAAACCTTTCTAATTCTTTAAATTAATTAATTCTAATTTAAAGCCATACAGATAAATGAATCCTGATTTTTAGCTCTGATTTGGTCACCTCCAACAGATTTCAGAATCAGAATGAATTTCAGTTGTCAGGTGACGTTTAGTTGGAGGTTTTTTGTTGTTGTTGAGGGGAAGGAATGAACAGGAGCTGCAGCGATTAATCCATCAGCTGTCTACAATAAAATCAATCACCAACCATTTAGATAAGTGACTCAGAGTCAACTCCTGAAAAACAAAACAAGACATTTGAGGAAACACTGATCCACGTTTTTTCACCGTTTTCTGACATTTTAGAGACCAAACAACCAATCGATTCATCCATGAAATAGTTTACAGTGAAGATAATTGTGATTCGCAGCCCTGATTCACATTACTTATAACGTTTGTGTGTCTGCTGTCCTCAGCCACCTGTGAGATGTGTGGGATGGTCGGCGTCAGAGATGCTTTCTACAGTAAAACCAAACGTTTCTGCAGCGTCTCCTGCTCCAGAAGTTACTCCTCCAACTCCAAGAAGGCCAGTATCCTGGCCAGGCTGCAGGTAAACAGGACGAACTGTATGACAAGATGCTAGAACTCAGAAGCGTCTTCTGTGCAGGAGGACAACAAGAAAAACCAAAACATTTCTTTGATATGGTATTCTAGGATATTTTGTTTTACAAAAAATGGATTCAACATGGCCAAAGTTTTTCCAGGTGTCCACAGGTGTCACCAACACTGGAAAAAAATAGAGACTCCACATACTATAGATGTTTAACTATTATTATTATTATGTAGTTTTTATACTTGTCTCCTCTCTGCTCTATGGAAACACTGCCTGCAGTTCAGCTGAAAACTCTGATTTCTTTGTTACGTGACTGTTGGTCACAGCTGAGGCAGTCACGGCTTCAGAGTTGTGTTGAGAAGGCAAAAAAATTTTAGTTTTTCACTGGATTGGAGCAAATGGTTTGCTTTCAGCATTAAAAAAAAAAAAAAGCCATATAGAATACAGTGATTTTGAAGAAATATCGCGATTTTAAGCTCAAATTTGGTAAATTTTTCAGAAGGAACAGCATGTTAGAGATGATTCATGTTAAGGAAACTGAAATTCTTTTTGTTTTTACAGTTTTTGGCTGATAGTCGGTGTCATTTTGGTGAGTTTTTAAAGATAATATGACTTTCAAACCGTTTTTGAGGGTCAGAGGAATAAAACTAATGGAGTTGGGAAACAACAGGAAACAGCAAAAATATGTGCAAAAGGGCAAAACAGGACAACATCTTCTAAAAATCATAGAATTCTAATGTCAAATGCGCTAAAAGCAAACACCCCCAACAGAAAACATGAGCATATTGCGATTTAGGAACTGCGACTTCTGTTGGGATTATGAACCTCGCTGCTCTGTTTTCGTCACTAAAATGATTGTTTTGTCTTTGAATGGAGCCCTAGCTTGTGTCTGATGTGTAATTTAAAGGGGAAGCCGCCCACCAAGAAGGCCAAGGTTCTCCAGAAGCAGCCTCTGATGACCAAACTGGCCGCCTACGCTCAGCATCAAGCCAGCCAGCAGGGTGGCGTCAAGAAGAGCGGTGAGTTCAAAACAAGTGAAGAAGTCTGAATGTAAGAATCGTCGTGGCTGCAGCAGTAGCTTCTGTTCTGTCACTTTTCAAGGTTCAGATCTCGACGCATTAGTCATTAATGTTTTCCAGACTCTGTTTCAGGGTAATCTGTGGCTGCCTGCTATCCTAGCTGCTAGTCTTTAGCATAGCATTAGCAACTGTGAAAGCAGCTGTTGTCCTGATTTGTGGAGATGTTTGTGCTTCTTGTTAATTTTTTGCAGTGTCTGCAGAAAGAGGAGCTCCAGGTAGCGCTGGCAGCAGCTCACCTCTCAGCAACAGCACTAGCTTAGCACTGAGCACAGAATAAGCTCCAGTTGCACCACTTATTACCATCAACAGCGGAATTTTTGGTATTTCTGTGTAACTCTATGAATGTTTGTGGAAAACCGTTGCATTTGTTAAACCTTCACCTTCGAACAGCTCTGATGACTCGCCGGAGCTGCTACAGTCTGATGATGTGTTTGTCTGTCTCTCTGTGTAAACAATAGCTTTCAGTGATTGGCTGTTGCTCCTGACATGTAACGGCCAATCAGATAGAGCTGTGGGTGGGACATTGGTGACAACACAGAGTGACGGCAGAGAACAAGCTGCTGAATCAGAGCCCAGAGAGCACATTTTACCAAACATGCCAAATATCAGCCTCAGTGATCAGTAGGGCCTGTTATTGGTCGATCCATACTGTAAAGGTTCCGTAAGATAAAACTTGCTCCTTTCGTCTTGAGCTGTTGTCTCCTGCAGCCGTGAACATGCAGGTAAAGGTGTGATTGATCCTGATGGACAGCGATGAGCATCATCCAATCACATGTGATCAAAAAACAACATTCCTACGCTGTCCTGAACGCACAGATTGACTCTGGGATGTCGAGGACAGTTTGTCAGTACATCACGTTTCCTTTTTTTGTTTGTTTTTGTTTGTTTGCTGCAGTAGCTGTGGAGATGTTTGACTGGGGCCGTTACCTTGGAGATGGAGATGTGACGGGAGCGCCGGTCAGCTGCTTCAAACATGTAGGAGCAACACAACACACAAAAATACACAAAGATACACAAAGATACCTCCATGAAACCTCTCCAGCTGATTACTCAGATTATTACAGTTATTTCTGGTCGCACAAGTCTCCCTAAATTTTAGTTTTGTTCATGCAAATTAAGTGTTTCCTTATTAAATATATGTAATTTTCTGTCAATTTATTTGTAACGGGTATTGAAATTTGTGCCGAGTAAGTACAGTAAACCTGATCAGTCTGTGTGTGGTAAAGACAGAGAGACTGTTTTCTCAAATTTTTGGCCACTTGATAAACTCAAGAGTCTGTTGAGGAAATCAAAACATAATTAACCCAAGTTGTGTGTTTTTGTTATCAAGGTGCCGATGGGGAAGTCGTGGGGCGTCAGCGAAGGAGTTCGAGTCGAGGTACCGAACACCGACAGCGGTCTGCCGATGAAGGTTTACTGGATCGCTGGAATCATCAAACTGGCTGGTAAACACTAACACACCAACAAAAACACACAGCAACACACAAAGAACAACACATGTTCGATAGTTGTATATCTGCTCCTCAAAGCTGACCTGTGTGTGTGTGCGTGCGTGTGTGTGTGTGTAGGTTTTAAGGCGCTGCTGCGCTACGAGGGCTTCGACGGCGACTCCACCAGAGATTTCTGGTTGAACCTGTGTGTTCCAGACATCCACCCAGTGGGATGGTGTGCAACTGGTGGGAAACCTCTGGTTCCTCCTCAATGTAAGGATGCTGTGACCTGTGTTTCCATGGTAACATAAACATACAAACATGGCCGAAGATCAGGTGTCTCCACACGGTCTTAATCTGAAGAGTTTAGTCTGTCAAGTTTGTTTTTATCGGTAAAGTAACCAGCTGGTTACCCAACTAGCCAATAACACCTGTAGCTCCAGGTGTCACATGACCAGAGGAGGGCCAGTTGATTGGCTGCATGTTTATTGTTGGGTCGCAAATGTTTAATATGAATTTATGTGTGTTTCTAGCTATCCTTCACAGATTCACCAACTGGAAAACTTTCCTGATTAAAAGACTGACGGGATCCAAAACTTTGCCGCCAGACTTTTCCTCAAAGGTCACAAAAGACACACAATACAAGACACACATACACAGTTCATAGAAAATATTTGTCCACACACTCTTGTGAGGACTGACTGATAATATTCATTTTCCATGAAGTGTACCCTCACACTGTGGTCAACATCCAGGGCTTTGATCAACATATCCTCCCGGTGCAGGTGCAGGACAGCATGCAGTTCCCCTTCAAGAAGCAGATGAGGGTGGAGGTGGTGGACAAGACTCACCTGTGTCGGACCAGAGTGGCTCTGGTTGAACAGGTTAGTGTCATCGTGTCCAGGTGTTTGTTCCATAAAGCGAAATGATCAAATAATCCAGACTTATTTCTGTTATTCTGACTTGCTGTCAGGTTGTTTTAGATTCCATGAACTAACTGTCCAACTGTCAGGGTAGCTATGATGCTGATATTTTACCGCTGACCAGGTATCCAGGTGTTTGTTTCCAGGTGTTTGTGTTCAGGTGTGAACCTTGCGTTGTTGCAGGTGATTGGCGGTCGTCTGCGGCTCGTGTACGAGGAGTGCGATGACGGGACGGACGACTTCTGGTGTCACATGTACAGTCCTCTGATTCACAGCATCGGCTGGTCGCGCTCCATCGGACACCGATTCAAACGCTCCGGTGGGTCGAACTCTGAAAAAGCTGAATTTAAGCCAGCAGCAGGTTAATGAGCAGACAGCGAGTGTGAAGTTGAGGTATAAACAGCTGTTTTCGTTTGTTTCCAGATGTGGCAAAGAAGCTGGGCGGTCAGATGGATGCACCTGGACAGCTGTTCGCTAAGGTGAGCATCACCTGAAAAAGAGACTAGAAACAGAGAACATTTTGTTGACCACAGAAAACCAGCCTGTAGTTAATTACCTAGCTCGATTAAAAGTCATTTTTAGAAGAAAAATATACAAAAGATTTAAATGATAAAAACTCTTCTGTCTTTTGAGACAACTTTTAAACTGAGTATCAAACAAAACAAGCTCTGAGTGTATTTCTACGTACTAGAAAAATATATTTTCAGAAAAATTTATTTGTTTTATGATTAATAGTTTGTTGTTTTAATAATAGAACCTATCAAGCTGAGATGGAGCATAAATATAAAGTAAAATGGAAACAAGCCATGAGCACGAGCAACACAACGAAACGAACAAATCATAGAAATGTCAAAAAGTCATGTATAAACCAAGAATAAAGATATAGCAGTGATGCACAGAACAAAACTAATCCTTCCAGGGTTCACATGTTACCGAAAGAAGCTACCACACTTTTTAAAAATGTCCCCACTTTCCTAAAAGCATCCTTACATTTCTAAATCTGTCCTCCTCACTGTCGGACTCAGTGTGTGAGTTCCCTGATGTCACCACAGGGGGGCGTTAGAGGACCTGCCTGTGCTGCTCTGCTCACTGTTCTTTGTTCTCACCTGTAGTTTCTGTCGTCTTTAGTTGTGATGTCTTTTGAAAGCTTTGACATTTTTAAAGAGTTGGAACATTTTTAGAATGTTGGGACATCTATATGAAGTTTGGATGTTTTGAAAAGGTTGAGAGTTTTTTTATAAAGTTGGGACAAAGTTGGAAAACAGATCTAAGTTTAAGAAAGTTGGGATATTTCTAGACAGTTAGGACATATTTAGAGAGGTGGGACGTTTTTACAGAGTTGGAACAAAATCGGAACATTTGGAGAAAGTGTTTTGAAAGATGGGACATTTTTACAACGTTCTGACATTTTTAGGAAATTATGATAAAGTTGGGACACTTTGAGAAAGTTGACGCATTTCTAGAGTTCTGGGACATCGTTTGAACGTTGGGATGTTTTTTGAAAGTTGCAACATTTTCAGGTCGTTGTAACAAAGTTGGAACATCTTTAGAAAGTTGGGACAAAATTGGGACAATTTCAGAAGGTTGGAACGTTTTGAGAATTTTTGAAAGATGAGATGATTTTTAGAAAGTTTCAACACTTTTGGACAGTCGGGATATTTTTAGAGAGTTGCAACGATTTTAGAAAGTTAGAACAATATTCAGACATTTGTAGAAAGTTGGGACATATCTAGAGAGCTGAGACGTTTTTGTTCCATCGACTCGTATGTTAGTTTCCTGTTGTTCCTGTTGTCACCACCGAAGGGCAGTACGACACCTTTAGTCACCTGGCTCGTTCTGAGGTCAAAACTCTTCCTAAGCAAAGGAAATGTTCTCGTGATGTTCCCTGATGGTTGCTGTTTGTCCTGTAGGTGAAGGAGGTGGATCAAAGCGGCTCCTGGTTTGAAGACGGGATGAAGCTGGAAGCCATCGATCCGCTGAACCTGTCGGCCATCTGCGTGGCCACAGTCAGGAAGGTGAGCTGAGGTTCTGCTGTGAATCAATCCGCCGCCGACTCCATGTAACCAGCTGCTTCCTCCACCAGGTGCTGGCAGACGGATATCTGATGATCGGCATCGACGGCTCGGAGGCGGCCGACGGTTCAGACTGGTTCTGCTACCACTCCACCTCCCCCTCCATCTTCCCCGCCGGCTTCTGTGAGATCAATAACATTGAGCTGACGCCCCCTAGAGGTACGACCACCTTCAGACAGATACACCAAACAGCTCCAGACAAACGGCAAGGACAGGGAGGACGTTCATAAAAGTTGAAACGTTTGGAAAAGGTCGAGACATTTTTAGAATGTTGGGATGTTCTTAAAAAGTTGGAATGTTTTTAGAAAGTTGGGATGTTTGTAGAAAATTGGAACGTTTTTAAAAAAGTGGGGATATATTTAGAAAGTTTGAACCTTGAACATTAGAAAGTTGGTTAATTTTTCAAAAGGTGAGACATTCTTAGAAGTTTGAGACGTATTGAAAGCTGGGATGAAAGTTGGACGACTGTGAATCTTAAAACAGTCGTAAAAATTGCCTTTACTCATGTCCTGAGCCTAAGCTGATGTCTTCACGTTCTTGAAGATATTTAAATTACAATTACACTCAATGTGCGATCAACAAGTTCTGAGACTGATACTGTAAAAATCAAAAACCTGATTTAAGTTTGAGCTCCATCCTTTTGCATTGATTCTCTGCTCTCAGTGCTCCTGCAGCATGTGTTCTTCTCTTCAGGAAGCATGTAAAGCGCCATCTGAGAATTTTCTGTACAGGAGAGATGAAGAGGCTCCTGTTCAATGAAACTTTTTCTGTTTCTCAGGTTACACCAACCTTCCCTTCAGGTGGTTCGAGTATCTGAGGGAGACCAAGTCTGTGGCAGCTCCGGTGAACCTCTTCAACAAGGTGAGAGCAGCTGAAAGCACCAGATGGCGCTATTTTTGTTTTCCTTTGTTTTGTTTTTTAGGTGAAACTGATGTTTATGATCAAAAAAACAACAATGAGAAAAAAGTAGAGACTTGGTTTAGCTCTAATCTTACTGTTAATGTGCAGACAGATAATACTAAAGTTACAGTTGAAACCAGAAGTTTACATACGCTGTATAGAAAGACTTTTTTTTTTAGTGTCTGACATTAGAGTTAGAAGTAAGTAATATAAGAATAATAGAAAAGTAAAAAAAAATCTCTATAAAATTATCTCTCATTATTCTGGCATTTAGCAAATATAAGCAATTTTGGTAATCCTGAGTCACATTTAATGTCAGACAGTGAGAAAAAAAAAAGGTTTTTATGTCTTTTTATACAGTGAATGTAAACTTTTGGTTTCAGCTGTATATGTAGAGAGACAAAAGCAGGCTGGCATTATTGTGAAGTTTAACATTAGCATACTTGTTTATCTAATATTGGATGCAGAAATGATTCAACTGGATATCTTGAAAAACCTGATCTTAAGTTTTTGCATAGAATTTTTTTTTTTTTTGAAAAAGTTTGGAAAAGCCTCACGGCTCCGAAACTCCTCGTGTTGAATTCAGCAGCAGAAACATGCTGATGTTTCCCTGTAGATATTTGTCTGACCTCCTTCCTCCATCAGGACGTCCCGAATCACGGTTTCCGTCCCGGCATGAAGCTGGAGGCCGTCGACCTCATGGAGCCCCGCCTCGTCTGCGTCGCCACGGTGACCCGCATCGTCCACCGGTTGCTACGGATACACTTTGACGGCTGGGAGGACGAGTACGACCAGTGGGTGGACTGTGAGTCACCTGACTTGTACCCGGTGGGCTGGTGTCAGCTGACTGGATACCAGCTGCAGCCTCCCGCTGTGAACGCAGGTAACTCACCTGAGTGACAGCTAAACTAGAGAGCTTTGAGCAGGTAGACAGATTTTGAACAAGTGTTTGTTTGTTTCAGGCTCCAGAGATCTGCAGTCAGCAGCAAACAAACAGAGGAAGAAGTCTCAGCAGTACAAAGGACAGAAGAAAAGTAGGTCCTTTTTTACAACAGAAAAAGTCTGAAAACTGTTGGAACTTAATAACAAAATGTGACTCATTATCGTTTTATTTAAACCTATATGCAGCCTCTTATTTGGCACTTTAACATCCTTATGTCTGCTTCATGTCTTCAAAATTCAAAAACCAGCCAACAGGAGCCCCGGCAGCTCATCTTTCACTTTAGTTTTAGCTGCATTTCAGACACTCGAGGTATGAAGCTGAAATTCCAGATTGAGTTAGTGTCCAAAAATATTTAAAAACTACAAAAATCTTTCCATGGTCAACATTGACTCAAAAAAATATCCAAACGGAATTTTACAAAATGCACAGCATGACAAAAAAAATGTCCAAAATAACAAAAACCTTTCCTGAATCTCTGATGAGAAGTGACTTATGCAGAAGTGGTCCAAAATTAATTCCTTATGTCCGGTTTTATGCAAATGATGTGCTCCTGTTTCTCTCTGATATTAATGGCTTTAGAAATACGTCAAATGAAACAGACCACATCTGTAGTTCTGGGGTATTACTGATGTCGGATATGAAAACTAAATCTGCAAAGTTATGTCATAAAAAAAAACTAATTTAACCCCAAAAGATTCTTATTGAGCTGATATTCTGATATATTAATTGAATTTCCCTTCTGGGATGAATAAAGTATTTTTCATTTCATTTCATTTTTCATTCTTGATGTTGTTTAATTGTCTGAACTCCAAGCAGTTTCCAGCTGTTTTTTTTTTTTTTTTGCTTCAGACACATTTTCCTTCGCTGTGACTCATTGTTCACTGCAGCATAAAGTCCTGCACCTCAGTGGAAACAGAACAACTGTGAAGGAGGAGAAAGGACTCAGAAATCATGATTTTAATGTAGAATTGGTTGATTTTCCTGATTAAACTGTGTATCATAGAGGAGTACTTCAAGAACAGATTCAGTTGGTTGTTCATCCCAACAAAACTGAGAGTAACGCATGATTAGTTCAAGGTCTGTTGGAAAGTTGAGAATCAGAAGATTATTTGTCTTTTACAGTTTCTTATTGTGATGAATATTGTAAGTAAGGTGATTTTTAAAAAAGATAAGATGCTCTTCTATTGGTTTATTGGTTCATTGGGTTAATGTTGTTTTCATCGTCTTATTTGTCACTCTGATCTCTGTATTAGTCAAATGTAATCAGATTACTATTTAAAGATGTTTCTGTCTCTCAGAGAGGAAGTTGCCCATCGCTAAGCGACCCGTCAGCCTATCGGGCGCCGTGGTAACCGGCGTTCCCAGGAGCCTATCAGGAGACGAGAATGAGACTCCGCCCGACTACCCATCACCCCCTCCTCCGGCCTCAGCAGCCCAACCCACCGCCGCCGACCCAGAGGGCAGAACCGAGGGCGGAGCAGGTAACCAGGGGGCAAGTAACAAGGGGGCAGGTAAATAGGGGGCAGGTAACAAGGGGGCAGGTAAATAGGGGGCAGGTAATTACTGTCACAGCTTTTTACCTGCATGGAGACACAGCAAGTCAGGCCTTAGAACAAACGAGTCTTTGTGTGTCACTTTGAGGTTGTTTCGTGTCTCTTTGTGGCTGTTTTGTGTCTCTTTGTTGTAGTTTTGTGTGATTTTGTGGGTTTTTCGGTGTCATTTTGGTTGTTTTGTGCCACTTGTGTCTCTTTATGTTTGTTAGCAGTCATTACACTTAAATATCCTGGTTCTGGACTTTTTAAACCTTCATTCCTGGTCGACGTTTTCATTCATCGACACCTTCCTGCATGTGCTCACTTAGTGTTCTGTTGTGTTGTGACCGTGCAGAGGGGTGGTGGTGTTGATGAATCCTCTGATCTTGTTTGTTCCTGCAGGTTCTCAGGTGAAGGAGGAGAACGTTGGGTGTCCGGAGCCTCAGAGGACGGAAACAGAAACCAACGGATCGTCTGCTCAGTTCCAGTAGGCCTCCGTCCATTCTGTCTGTCTACTGTGATACAAACACTGATCGTCCTGTTTCTCTGACGTTTCATTTCCTGACAGCAAAAAAAAAACTCCTTCAGAAAAAACATCTCTGATACAACAAAGAGAAGCTGAAGAAGCAAATTTACTCATTTTCTGGGATCAACAGGAAAAAAAAAACTTTAGTTTTTCAATGCTAAGATCTCGATCTGTGTTCGTGTTCGAGGGTCAGAACTGCAGCAAAGTGAAACTGTGACGTCACGGTGAGATTCATTAAAAAACACTGTGTGTTTGTGTTCAAGTGTGAGTGATGACGAAGCATCAGGACGCCACGGAAAGAAAAACCAGCAACAGGAGCCACAGCAGCTCGATTTTCACTTTCAGCTGCAGCTCAGAGACTTGAGGTGTGAAGCTGAAATTCAAGTCAAAAATGACAAAAAGTCTTTCCCATGTGACTCAAAACTGATCGAAAAAGACTCAAAAAGTGGTCCAAAGTGACACAAAAATTGTCTAAAATCGCAAATATTTGTTCCAAAATGACTCAAAACTTGTCCAAAATGGAAAACCATCTTCCAGAATGACCCAAAATAATTTTCAAAAAGTCTGACAGTTATCTGAAATTAGGGAGACTTGTCCAAGATGGCTTAAGAATTGTCTAAAATGGCAACAATTTTGTCCAGAATGACTCAAAAGTTGTCCAACGTGAGTAAAGAATTGTGCAAAATGAATGAAAAAGGTCTCAAAAAAACGTCCCACATGCCTGGAAACTTGTGAAAGATGCATGAAACTTGTGTGAATGTATTTGGATGACAAAGCGTCAGGACGCCACGGAGAGAAAAACCAGCCAATCGGAGCCACGGCAGCTCGTCTTTCACTTCCTGGTTTCACATCTCAGAGACTCAACAGATTCATACGTTCAGACAATCGAACAGTCGGTTCGAGTTCAGCAGAGAGTTTGATGGAAAGTTTAAAATCACGCAAACGTGAGTGAAGTTTGGTTGAAGGTGTTTTATCCGAAAATATTTATGAATCACGAAAAGGCTCATTCTGCTTGATTTCTACTCGCTGTGAGAAGACAAAAACAAAAACGCAGATTTTTACATGAGTCGTTTAAAAGATGGTCGCAGGTCATTTAACTTTGATGACTGATCGTCTAAAATGGTCCAGAATGACTGAAAAGTTGTCAAAAAGAAAAGAATGACGATTTCAAACTTGCGCATAATTAGTGAAAAATGTCCAAAATTAGACTAAACTTGACAAAGAAGAAATCTAATTGTTTAATTGTTCGTGCAAAACCTGTCTAAAAATGTTTACATAATATACATTTGGCCAAAATTACCAAAAATGATCCAAAATAGCTTGTTGGAAAACTGTCCGTACCATGACGCAAAACTTTCCAAAGAGTAACGGAAATTTCCAAAATGAGTCGAAATCTGCCCAAAATCACAAATATGTATAAAAGGTTTTCCAAAATTGCTCAAAACATGTCAAAAATGACAAATGGATCATTTAGAACGTCGTCTGAAATAAGTAGAAATTGTCCAGAATGACACAAAACTTGTCAAATTACTCTAAACTTGAAACGCAGCAGCCAGAAATAAAGCGGAATGATCCTTTAAAGCAGATTCAGTGTCGTTCGTTAAGAGTTTATTGAAGGAAAAAAAAGAACATTAGTGGTTCAGCAGCTCCAAGAATCATAAAGTCTTTACTAACTATTGATACCTCACAAAAATATTAAATACAACTAATTTTTTAACTTTTAAAAGTTTGAAGACAAAAAGGTTTAAATTGATGTAACAGATTATTTCAAAAACACAGTAGAAAGAATATATTTGATTTTAAAATAAAGATGATCAGATTCTAAAAAGCAAAGTCTAATTTAGAAAAAAAACAGATGTTTAATAACAAACTTCTAAAGAGCAGCCGTGTTCTGTTTCCGACTTTACATGATGATACAAACGTATATTTAACGTGTTTTAGTAGATAAAATGTTGTGAAGGTTTGTTGGTGACTAAAAACTAAAGTGGAAAAATGAAAAGTCCGTCTGTGAGGTTTTATATTAAACTGATTAACTGTAGCCTGAAGCGTAAGTTGGTGTTTGTTGAAAAGTAAAACAACAGATTTACAGAGAAAACAGCCGAAGAGCTCAAACTGCTCAGAGACAGAATCTAAACTTCAGTTTCTGTGACCAAATCCAACAATCATCAGTTTACCAAAATGTGATTCGACCGTTTTTCCATTATTGTTAAAATACGACAGATAAATTGAAACAGTACCAAATTTAACAGTTAATTACTTTAAAATCTGATGTCAACTGTGGAAGCCGCAAAAGAAAACTATGCAAATTTAGACTAAATAAGAGAATCCTTTCACTGAGTCCTTGTTGTATACTCTCACATATAAAGTTTTACTAATTGGTCAAAACAAGGCATTGACATGTCGACTTGTCTCTTGATTTTGATCTCGTAGTTTTTTAATTAAGAATTTTGACTGTGTTTCAATTTTCCTATCTAGCCAAAAGACATCTGTGCAAAAAATATTTTAAGATGAAAAAAAGTCCAGAGATGCTCATAAATGACAAAAGCATTGGTCTGAAGTGACCCAAAAGTGACCAACGAATGGACCTAAATGACATGAAACGTGTCCAAAATGACAAGAAATGGTCCAAAGAGACTCAAAAGTGGTTAGCAATAATAAAAAAAAATGTCGTAATGACTTTAAAATAAAACACAAAACATTGTACAAATGACTCAAAAATGAAAACAGGTCCAAAATGACTCAAAACTTGTCAAAAATGACAAAAAAACAAAAACAAAAAAAGGTCCGAAGTGACTCCAAATGTCTGCAATGACGAAAAATGTTGAAAGTGACTCAAAAATTTTACTCAAAAATTTTCCAAAATGACAAAAAATGGTCCAAAGTGACTCAAAAAATGACAAAGTATTTGGTCCAAAATGACTTAAAACTAATCCAAAAATTTAAAAAAAAAAAAAAATGTGTCCAGAGTCACTCAAAAATAGTCAAAATAACAAAAGAAATTATTGAAAATGACTCAAAAATTTTACCTAAACTCCAAAATTTGGACAGAAATAATTACAACATTGTCAAACTCGCCATCATTGTTTCAACTAAGTACTTTAAAATTGAAAGTTTTGCTGTCCTGTCTCGACATTTTAAACCAGTAACGCAAAAAAAAAAAAGTCTTCAGTTTTATGTGTTTTCTTGGTGTAACTTCAGTCGCCCATTTTTGACTCAACATCGTTCATTTTTCGGACCCACTGATGTCTGATGATTCAATCATTCTGACTGCTGTGGTGACTTTTTGTCTTTTGTCAAGTCTGAATTTTCACCAGTTTAGTTTTTCCTGCAGTGATAAAGTTCCCACATGGATCTAATCTGGATGTTTGTTGTCTGACGGCGAAAATGAAATCTGGTGTTTTCAACCGAACTTTGAGCATCTCGAACTCTAAACTCGTAGCTGTTTTATAAATTCACTGCTGTTTGTATGTCGTCTGTTGGTGTTTGTCGTCTTTTTGTACGTGAATCTTCAATAATGTCGAACTGTCCTCTTTGTATTACGGTGCTATCGATAGATGATATATATCAATATATAAATCTACACATTTGATAATGTTTTTATGGAATGACTTTGACGAACTGTCTGTGACTCTGGTGAACATGTTGTATTTGTATCTGCAGCAGATTTTGTATCTGGAGGAAATGTGAGGATTCGATGATTTTCCTCGTCGGTTTGTGATGTTGTCGTGTTTTATCGGTTTTCTGTGGGGTTTTAAACGGCAGCGTTTTCTTCCACTGTGGTTCGGGACCCAAAGACTGAAACAATGTTGTGAAGTTTGAAGCCGAGATGCCGCTGGTTGATTTGAAGAAAGTTCGACTGAGCTTATTATCTTTGATTTTGTGGTCAAAACCGAAACTAAAACCAGAGTTGGATCAGGTGGGAAGTTCTGTGGGGCAAAAGAAAGAAATCCAAGATCGGATCAAAAGCAACATTTTGGAGATAATTTAAGTCAAGATTATGGATTTAATTTCTACAGATAAGAGGTTGTGGATCAGATTGGAAGTCTGGAACTGGGCGCTTAAGTTATCTTCAAAACAAAGCCTGGATTGGGTACAAAATCTAGGATTGATCATCACTGAAACTGGACTGGTCCAGGACTGGATGCAGGACTGTAAAACATTCAGGACTATTAGGTTGGTGTCACAAATCTGGTCTCAGAATTGGATCAAATAAGAATTGGACTAAATTGGGGTTTTTTTGGGGTTTTTTTTTTTTGAAGTCCAGATTTGGTGCATAATTACATTGAATGTAAATGTTTCCACTCGTTGACATAAAGTCATCGGTTCTTGGTTGTGAAATTAGAACCCTGTTCCCCAACCAAGACTGAAACCAAAGATTAATCAGGTGTAAAATTTAGTGAGACAAAAAATTCCAAGATTGGACCAGATGCAAAATCTTGGAGATAATTTAAGTTTGTTGGTTTATTTTCTTAAGATTAGAGGATAATTCAGGATAATTAGGTCAGTGTCAGGAATCTGGTTTAGAATTCAGTCAAACAACCCAAAACAGACCAGAAAATTAAACTGGATCCAAAACTTTTGTCATAATTTAGACTGGAAACCTTTTTACCGTTGATCTGGTGGGGAATCTTGTGCCCAAACCAAAACTAAAACCAGAGTTTGATTAGATGGAACGTTTTGTGGAGCAAAAATATTCCAAGATTGGATCATATGCAACAATTTGGAGATAATTTAAGCCTGGTTTATTTTCTTAAAGGATAGTTAAGAATAATTGGATTGGTGTCACAAAAGTTTCGACCAACCCAAGACTGAACTACGTAAAATGGTAAGAATACAAGATTTTGTATTTAACTTGGATTGAGCATATTTTATCTTCACAGACCAGAAAATTAGACAGGATACAAAATTTTGCACTAAATTTAGGAGGGAAACATGATCTTATTATCGTTTGTCTGATCAAATATTTGTGCCCAAAATCTAAACTAAAACCAAAGTTACATCCAGTGTAAAGTTTTTTTTGTTGTTTTGTTTTTTTCGGGATGAAATCAGCAACTTTGGAGACAATAAAATCAGCGTCAGGAGTTTTATATCTGTACATCTTGCGTTCAAGTCAAGACAGGATTCGATGGAAACTCTCTTGCTTGGATCTTGAGTTGGTTCTTGTTCACTACGAACACAAACAGGCCCCAGAAAACGTTTTTTTTTTTCTTTTCTAAACGACATCAGAAAATGTTTCCTGAGAAAACCACGGCTGCTCTCGGCTTCTGGTGGCTGCATTTATTCAACTTTACTTTCCTGAGCTACAGAACTCATCTTAAATTCAGCCGATAAGCTTCTGTCGGTGTGTTTTCATACCGTTGCAGACGACATTTGAATCTCAGTATTTCACAGGTAGCAGAGCCGACAAAAAAAACTAACCGAAAGGACAATTTTCATAAACAATTTTTTTTACAATGTGCCAATGAGAAAAACATTGAATGTTGGTCCCACACTGATTAATGAAAACCTGCCGATACTGTTCATGTCCATGTCGTCCACATGGCGTTTACTGAGCTCTGATCAAAATAAATGTCTGAAAGGTGTGTGTATATATAAATATATAGATATAAATCTATATACTGAACATGTCTGACAAAAGAAATGTAGTTCTGTACTGATGTTTCATGAAGCTTTTTTTAATACATTGTGCAATTTTTGGCAGCATGATTGTGAAGAAATTATTACATTTAGATGTAAAATAAATGACTCACTTTACATTTTTATGCAATAAAATGTTAATTGAAGTTGTTGTTGTTTGTGTTTTATTTCACTATTTGTGTTGTAAGCTCTTAATGTCTTTTTGTGTTGATAATTTTAATCTATTGAGTGACATTTTATGGGGTTTTTTTTGCCAGATGCTAGTTATTTTTTATATCCCTTTAAATACGTGTTTTCAGGAACTTGGTCACCCTGTATAATTAAGTTATCGTATTTATTTTTTTTATCTGTTTTCTTCTGTAAGACTGAAACCAAGAGCAGGTTGGGTACCAAAGTTCCAAGACTGTCAGCGTGCAGTGTAATGTATAATATGTCTTACTACAGTGTGTCATGTGATAGTTTAGTACGTCCTAAAAATGTCACAGTATAGAATATCCTTGACAACATTGTTGTGTAGCTCGTTGTTTAAACATCACAGCATCATACGTCGCAAAAATATTGTTAAAAAGGTCATTAGAAACGTCAGTATGGTTTTGAAAGTATGGTTAAAAATGTCATAAAATGTAAAAATTATGTTAAAAACATCAGAGTAGAGAATTTAATTGAAAGCATCATAGCAGAGTGTGTTGGTAAAAATACCACAGTTTACGATGTTGTGATGTACAGTCGTGACTCGATAGTCTGACCCTTAACAATCCAACACCTTGCTATCCGACAGGCTTTTAGGAAAAACGAACGAAACCCATTCAAAACAGCCTTAGCATACCAACAGCCTTGGATTCTGACTCCAACATGACATTTTATGTCACAAATCAGGATAACGGCGTTTTATCTGACTGAACAATCCACAGATTGGCTACATTCAGACTGCAGGACTTAATGCTCAATTCAGATTTTTTTGTGAAATCCGATTTTCTTGTGAGTTCGTTCACATTTCTAGTTAAATACGACTTGTATGTGAT